TTGTGCGCCGCTGAGGAATCGAATAACCACTTCATGCAGCAACTGCGAGAGCCGGCCAATATTTATGACTATTTCTAACGTTCGACTGTCTATCACACAAGCCCACTCCCTGTTTCATGCCTCATGTGCGATACAAGTAGGCTCATCGTTCTCGGCCAAATAAATGTACCCGTAGGTGTATACCGTTCGTGAATTGCAGATCTCTGAGCAGCGTTTTTTTTCTGGTCCCGAATAGTATGCCAGGTAAAGTGATTATTCATTAGGGTAGTGATTAGAACACTCGGTAAGCGGGTGCAGTGGCTTAGAACCCATTTTGGGGAATGTCGATTAGCGCGATGGCCCGTGATCGTGGGCTGCTATTTTTGTTACCAAAGTAAGGAAAGTGACTGCTGAAACGAACGTGTTGTAATGACGTTGAGGATAGCAGCAGAAAATTTTTCCTCATTATGTTGTTCGAGACGTTAGGCGCAAACCAGTATGAGTGCACGAATCAGTTTTAGCCAAAAAAAAAAGTTTATTTTGCAGGGGTTATTGAAAATTAAGGGATAAGTTTTGTCCAAATTTTTCAATGGTGGACTGAACAACCTACCAATGGTGTCATTAGCAGCGATGCCGTGGTATCTAGGATAGACACTGAAATAGAATCTCATGTCCAGTCAGAAAGATAACTAAAATATGGAGCGAAAAAAAAAAACGTCTTATACAACTGTCACACATGAAAACTTCAGTGCAGTTTGAGCGAGTACACTTCGCCGCGAGTGTTCTTTGCACGCTGTCGCACGAGAAAGTTTAGTGTCACTGGCTGCAACGCTTGCCGCCAAGTGCGTTCCCCAACCTCACTTCGCTGCGACAAAGTGTGTAGCCTCGTTACCAGTGGTTTGTTCATACACACGTTGTTGCCTAAAGCAGCGCTCGTACTCTTTTGAGTCATTGTTTTCGTTATAAGGAATACTGATATGTATTAAGACAACTCAATACAACAACGACAACAAGAAAAGAACCTTGCTGCTCTTACCCTCAGCCAGTTTGCGGCTACGTCCTATAGGGGGATGCTGCAGCACGTGCAGTGCAATGGCACCGTCCGTCGCATTGTTTACTTCCAGGCACACTTACACATGAGTAGGCGAGTCGTAACTGTATAGTAATTTGCAATGGCATGTGCTATTGGCGCTACTTGTACGACGACAATGTGGTCTGACGATGAGATATGGGCGCAAGAATGCATGTTGCGCTACAATTCTGCCACTTGCCACTGCCATCATCTCCAACGTACACTTCGCTTTCTCGAGTAGCGGTGAACCACCAAAATGACACTTGATAAGCATAACTAAACTCGCCCAAAGTGCACTTAAGCTGCCACGTGTGACAGGGGTATTACGCAGAAAGTAAGAACACAGGATGACTTTCCTCATTCTTCTGCGTGTCCTGTTTTTGTCGCCACATCCTTCAATTATGCCAACTAGCTCAGTGTTCCACAGTACTGCAGCGATGGAGAGACTGTTGGTGCTCCTCCATCATCTAATGTACTTTCACGTTCACTCATGATACCAATGCAGGGAACCATTAGGCACTACTTTATCGGCACAGATTATCGCCTATTGGCACATCTGGCAACCACTATTCAGGGCGCATCACACAGCGCTAAGCAGCGACCGAATTCACAAATATTTTTCTAAAGTGCGTTTTCCTGTTGGTCAGCCGGTTTTGTTAATACGTCACCAGTTCGCCACATTGAATTGGTGGTTAGGGGTATTCGACTGCCGAGACGAAGGTGGCGCGTTCGATCACGGTTTCCCACTGCTTCAATATACAGCCTTTACTTAAGATTACCGACCTGTTCTAAAGAGCGATTATTACGTGTACTGTGTAGTTCGACCAAATACAATTGAAGATTGTTAGAAATTCACAGTTTTTGAATCCCTAGTGTTCTCTAAGCTTGACACCGACTACGTGGACAATAAGGTGGCACACAGAAGTGCTCACAGCGCCTTCATCCGATTTTAAGCGCATATATGGGACAACTAAAAAGAACTCAAAACCTGTCTTTTGCGTGACAAGCGCTATATGGCTTCTTAAGCCCGTCACGTCCGTCTCCAAACCTTACCCTCCTCTGACTTCCACCTAGTCGCTTTTTGTTCTATGCAGATGCAGTTTTGGGCATTACTACTCTAAGAGTGCAGCGAGGGAGTTTGGCACTACGTAAACATAAAAAAAGGATAAGCTTGAAAAACTAAGGAAAAGAAGAATGAAGACAAGCAGTAAAGGAGTCTTCAAGAGGACCAACACGGCTGATGTGTGAACCGAGGAAAACAGATTTGCACAGACGCGGGGAATCTTCTCGTATATGTACGGTTTAAGCAACGACGTGTTTTAGCAACACGTGTTTTTTTATATATATAGCGGGGTGCTTGACAGCATACGGCACCTCGCTCACGCGTGAACTAGGAAGTGTGACACGTCGGCGTCGGCGAAGTCCGAGGTGTCAGACCAGTCTGCCTTCGACGGCGTGTCACTGTGTCTCCGGGGGTTGTAGGAACAACCGCTGCCATTGTATTATGTATACGTGCGTGGAAAAACAAAAAAGACGGAGGGAAAATAGAAAGAAGCTGCCCAGTGTTACAAACTCGTCACCTCGTGTCACGCCTCCGTGTTCGCAACGAGACGAAGACGTGTAGATGACGCGCACGAAGGAATCTCTGGTCGGCCGCGTAGCGAACACTTTTGGCACGGATACAGCGACTAGCAAACTAAGGGCCTTCTCACTCACGCCAGAATGAAGACAAGACGAGACAAAAATAAAGCGTCGGCCACACGATGTAAATTCAGTCGCGCCAAGGCGCAGCGCCGAGTCGTGCACCACTCTGCTTGTCCCGCGTCTATGGTCGTTTTCCTTCCGCTCGTGTCTGCAGTCTTTCCTCCATTTTGGTTTTCGTTTTTTTTTCTTCTTTTTACTGTATAATTGCTCTTATTCAATTTTTTTGTCACAGCCAACTTGCACTCTACGGGCTAACTTCCCCCGCACTCCGCCGTTCGCACGTACTTATACACATCGCATGCACGCATGTTAGCGACGCTATTTGCACGGCAAGGCCTCCACCGGCAACGAAAAAGAATTCCGTCAGCTAGCTATCCCGGTCGCAATTATAGGCGAGCGGGTGCACGCTGTCGCCCAGCTGTGTCGTTAAATCAGACGCTTCCTACCAGGTGGCCGACTGAGACAGCGTGACGTAAGGGCCATGTGGTCCCGTGAACCGTGCCAGTAGGTTCTCTGCTCTGCGAACTATATTCGCAGGCAAAGAGGACAAACTAGTACATAGGCTATAGCGCGAAGTGGTTTTGTTTTCCTCTCTCTCATATCTGTCTTTCCTTTTCTAGGGTCTCCGTGGACGTCACGCGGCACCAGGCACACCATATGTGTTCCTGGTGATATAGGGCACGTGCATACAATAAACAAAAAAGGAAAACATTGATAATGTTCTTCGTTGTTTTCGCCCTCCCTGTAAGAACCACGACATTTCGTGTTCTTGTTCTACGTTTCGTTTTTTTTCAGCTCTGCTCAGCTACTGCTCCAACAGCGCTACACATGGCCTGCAACATTTGTTGAAGGACACTTCCAAGCACGTGTCGGCATATCTGCGTTTCAAGACATTCGATGCCAGGGCGCTCAGCGGAAACCCTTCCGTTCTGTTCTTGCGTCCAGCAGCGACAGTCATTTCCAAGATATAACACAGTACCGAGAACAACATGGCTCGATGACTGGAGAGAGAAAGGCAGCGCCGTCTAAGCAGGGAACCTACGCACTTACGTGTGTGCGAAAATAGACCGTTCACATCTATGTTTCACTAAAACCCCAAACTATGGGGTGATAATGTCATGGCGTCAGGGTCTCAATAAATTAAGACGATTGAGGTATGAATCTGCCTCTTTTCAGTGCTATACACTTCAATAGCAGGCGCATCTTTCAAATCGGGGTTCCGTACAATAATGATTCATAGTGAGTCTTTCGTTGCCGTAACGCCACCCACGTACCCGATACTTTCAAATCACGAATGAAAAGTGCGCCGTCAACGTCATGCAGATGCTTCATAAAAAAGTCATCAGCATCGTGCGTTTGAGAAACAAAACGCAATCAAACAAGGTCGTTGCTATTGCCAAAGAAGAAAAAACAAACAGCAAAACACTTTGCAGAAGGTGCAACTGTCTTTAGGGTACATGATTTATACTCACCTGTTAGTGTATATAACACAAATGCTTTTTCTTGCGCACATATGTGCAAGTTTATGCCTATTTGGAAACGACTTAGCGCATTTTAGCTTACTTAATGCTTATAGTATATCGCCATCGGTGTATTCCTTCACTCGCGTGTGGAAATTGGCTGTTTGCGGCGATAGATTAGCTGTTGTGCACAGTGGAATAGGCAAAAAGTTGCCTCGATGGGGCAACGCCCTTGATCAGAATTGACGCAGGTGTTGACTGGTGTCATTTTGTGCTATGAAAACATCCGTAAACAGAGACTGTGCGCTCAAGCTGACGTTTGGAGCAACAGGGCTTGTCTTCTTCAAGGCTTTTAAAAGTTGTAGCCTTGAAGAAGGCTGGAATTTCTAGCCTTGAAGAAAACAAGTCAACTTGCTCGAAACGTCGCCTCGAGCACGCAACTCTTGTTTGTTGATTTTTTTTCTTCGCAAGCATCCATCTTTCCGTTTTTTTTGTTTTATTTTGGGGGGAGGGGAGGGGAGGGGTATTTGTGCCATACGTCCCACGGCAGAAAGTAACATCCAGAGAAACCCTTGGACATGCCAGCCCCCGGCTACGCCACTGCCTATGCACTTGAATTTTTCGAAGGCTTCCGTTGTTCTTTATTCATTTTTGCCATTTGAAGTGGAGTAGCAAGCGCCAATGCATTCAGCGAAAGTCCCCACAAAAAGTGCAAAAAATGCAAAAAAGGCGAAGCTCGTTAGCAAGATATGTGATAATAAGCATAAACGAGCCTGTGCGCTCACCAGATGATCGTCGTTCCGCGTGTGCCTTGGCGAGCAGATGACGTCGGTGGTGACAGATCGCAGTCCGTCTCGGCCTTCCTTGTCCAGCTTCTGTCGCAGCACGAGGCTCTTGGTTCCGGGTAAGATGGTGAGCGGGGAGCCCTCGGGATCGGCCATGCGCAGCTCGATGTCGCCCCACGGCTCGCTCGCGTTGCCCGCCACCTGAAGGGTGCCCACGATGCTCTCTGAAAACGAAGAAAGTGATTCCTCGCATGTGCGCCGAAGGGAGTACACGTATACAAGCCTATGTGTGAAGTCAGCCTATACGATTAAATGGGCTGCAGTAACTTATATGGACAGTGAACGAGAGCTAACGACTCAACCGAATCAGACAGCAGGTTGATGCCCTATCATATCAAGTACGTAAGTGGAACCACGTAGTCCTAACGACGGCCGGTTCTAACCCTTCGGGAATGTTGTGGTATGCTTAAGCATATATACTTGAGCGTAGCTTGTCGAGGAGTTCTTCATCTTGAGGTCTTTCCTCATTGTATATATTTCTCTCGCTCTCCCACATCTTGAGACACCTGAGACAGGCGCGAATGAGGAATATCGAGACGAAGAAACGCCGTCAGTACTTCCCCAAAATATGCGTAGTGATAACACGAAGTCTTTCGACACGAGGAACTGTATCATCCGTCCAGCTTTCATTATATCCGCCCTGCGCACATTTCCACAACCATTTCGAAAGAATCGCATGTCTCAGGTGCTCAGCTACATAATATTTACTCGAGGAGATTATGGACCCATAATGCTTCCAACGTACACTGCAGCATTGTTTTTTTTAACGAATGCAAAATCCACGGAAATTGAGTGGTTCAGTGAATATAATTAGATCAACGAATGCAAAAACAACGACAATTGAGCGGTTCGGTGAACATAATTAGATCGATGAAAGAAACATTTTTTACAATGAGGAAGTCATACAGATAAATGGTCGCAATGCCTGTTTTGTCAATTTCTCGGAGCCACCATATCACCAATCACGATGTTCGGGTCATATTATAGAGCGCTTAATCTAATAGCACACTAAACGTAAAAGGACGTAATAGAACGACTCGTCCTCGTTTCTAAAGTGCATTACGAAATTGAACATTAATTATCAGCATGCCCATTCATACATGCTTTCATCTTAATGCATGGATCACAGAACTTCGCATAAGTGCTTACCAACTGGGAAGGCTTCGTTGACCGTGAACGTCTCTGAGGATCCACCATGAGTGAGGTAGCATAGGTTATCTGCAGATAAAGAAGAAAGCAACAGTTATTAGTATTTGAAGTGACATCTACATAGCGCGCACCGAGACCTCGCAACAGGGAATGAAAGTGTACCACACTGGAACGATATGGCAAGTTTGCTTGCTAGAGACAGACTGACAACGTGACTGTTTAATGTGATTAGAAGGTTTATGTGGTGCATCGGTGGCCAAAGAGGGCCACGTCTCTTTATTTGGCGTGAGCGATGACCATGTGATTACGATGACAGCGTGCATTATGGCTGTAGAGAAATTTTAAACCATGCGCTATACAGAAAGAAGGAAGGTGTTTGTTGAATATATAATTAACAGCTTGACCAACTTTCCTTGCTTTGCCTCCTGTATGTGCTCATACACTAATAGCATGAAACTAAATTGTAAAATTTTATTCATACTTTTGTGGTATGGTTTACCCGACATGCTGAGCTTTTTTCTTCTAACTGTAAGAGTAAATGTTTCAGTAGGGCGCACATAACGCAGACAATAACCGGGAGTACGTGTAGCTGACAAAGTAATACTATCTCAGATAATTACTTTGAGGTTGTGTGTACTATAACGGCTTTTAAGCGCTCGCGGCACAAGTAGCTCTCTTCATGTGTCGTCGTGCGGTCAAATTTGTTTTTGATAGTTCTAATTGGCACACCTGTTCTTCTAATTGTCATAATACATCGAGTCATACACGACTAATATTGTCGTCATTCGCAAAAGAATCTGAGTGAAATATGGTTTATACGATTTTTTTTAAGCTCACCGGTACATACGTTTTCTTGTGGCTTGCACGCAACACCATGGCCGTCACATAAACGGGCCAGTTCATCTGTTTTTTGTTTCCCTTGTGGCTATCACTACTTTACATTACACAGAACGTTCCTCCAGGTACTAGATCTTATAGATTACAATAAGCGAATTCTCAAGCCACATCCGCAGCATCTTCGTAACGAATGCTTTTGCATGATGTATAGTAAACGACTCATGGCCGGGACAAGGTAACGCGGCGTTATTATCCGAACGCATTAAAAGATGCGTTTATATAGGCTATAGAATAAAATGGTAGATATCCTTGCAGTGAAGTTCAACTGCGCAGTTGTAAACACGGTCTTTAAAGCGTATACGCACTCCACGGCAGTGCGTCAAGCTCGCACTCATTGACGTTGTACAAGGCGAGCGGCCGTAGGAATTGATTGATTTGTGGGGTTTAACGTCCCAAAACCACCATTTGATTATGAGAGACGCCGTAGTGGAGGGCTCCGGAAATTTTGACCACCTGGGGTTCTTTAACGTGCACCCAAATCTGAGTACACGGGCCTACAACATTTCCGCCTCCATCGGAAATGCAGCCGCCGCAGCCGGGAATCGAACCCGCGACCTGCGGGTCAGCAGCCGAGTACCTTAGCCACTAGACCACCGCGGCGGGGCGGCCGTAGGAATACCGACCATGCTGGAACGTCGGAAGGTGTTTGCATACAATCGCGAGGTCTGCGCGTTCTCCAGTCATGATTCAGAAGGAAGGCACGCACCATTTTATTGCTAGCTATGAGTGATTACAGGTGCTGAACAAAACATGCCTCTCAATTCAAACGGGCTGTACAACAAGTCAGCACAATGAATGAACCTTCATAATTATAGAATTTAAGATACCATTAGATTTATGGCTTGGTGGCATGACACAGACGATCGAAAGGGGCTTTTTGCTGGCTTTTGCAGCTGCAGTAAAGGCCAAAAAGTTTTTTAATATATACACTAGAGGAAATTCTGGCGCTAGTGTCTATGGGAGCGGCAACGCACGGCGTTTCAGGGAGCAATGGAATGATGAGTAGCACGTTATTTGTCTGATCTCCGTATTTTCGGCTCCTGTTGGCCTCGCGTGGCTGGGCGCTGCTTTGCCACGAGACGACAATCAGCAAAGGTTTATCAATTACGCTTGACGACCTTGACCTTGTAAGCTTGCCACATCATATCAGGTCTCGAAGCTCACAGCGGGCCGTTTTTTTATTCGAAATGAAACCAAAACACGGCATTAAACAAAGCCAAAAGTGCGTTCGAAGCACTCGAGCACGAAAACTAGGCAAATTTATGTACTTCCCATCATTGACATGGTCGCTGAATGATTGAAGCGCCACAGACCCCTGTAGTTAATTTCAGAAAACTCTATGGTAACGGCGCGGCTGTTCTTGGTCGAAATCAATGTGCGAGGACCGTGGTAGATACTAGATCGTAGACTGTAGTGGGCACACAGAAAGTGGACAAACAAAACTACGGGTGTGTGCCGCCACTCCCCCTATACCCTCTACTTCCACAACTCGCCAACAAGCCGTCTACTGCCCCCGCCGCTCCTCCCGCTTCAGCCACCCACATAATTCCACGTCATTCCCGCTTCACGCCGATTCATTCAACTGACTTCATTGCACATCTTTTAACCCGGTTTAACCCCCGCTGTACGCCACAAGCTTCCCTGTTTTATCAGTGTTCCCCAAGCAGAGATGGCTGAAGTTCATTTTAATTTTTACCTTTTTTTATCTCGAAATCTCTTCTGCTTTGCCATCTGCATGCAGAAAGCCGCATTGCATCATAGCACGCCATTCATGTACTGCTACACCCCGGGATTTTTCTCAATTTTGCGTGTGTACAAACGTATGCACGAGCGTATCGAGAAAACGCCCCTGTAACATGCTTGCAAAGATTATCTGCTCTTGAATATTATCGGAGTCACGTGGAGCTCCCTAAACCTCATTTTCTGATACATGAAGACTGTGAAAAGGGTGAGGCAGTTAGTTTTTGTTAGTTGTCTAACCAAAGAAGTCACTGAGGTACTGCACATGTAATATCTCTCACAGAATCTACGCCTATGTCCCCCTGGTTCGCAAGTGCGCCTCATAGTCGCCATTCGAGCACGCTGCATAAACAAACAAGAAGGAAGCCCAGTATCGCCGAAGAGCAATAATTTAGACACGACGTTCACGGAGGTGCGAACCGAGCCGCGCCCCTGCCAGGCACCCGCAAAAGAATTTAACGCCTATGCAAGTTTCTACATGCTCCTGGAGCGAAAGGTTCCTAGGAGCGGGCGAAAATTAAACGTCGTGCGCGTTCCTTCCCAAAGAGTCGCCAACTGCGTGCGCGTGGCGACAATTTGTACACGCGTTGCGCCAAAGAAAGCACAAGCTGCAACCCAGCCCAAAGAGCTAAGCCCTGTCATCTATCAACAGGTCGCCGAGATTCCGCCGCGTTGCAGGCAGCTCGGCGCGTTCTCGTTTCGAGCGGCAGCAAAACGGCCGGGAGTGACCACACGAATCCTGTATTCATGGGACGCCCGGGGCGGGCCTTTTCGGGAGCAGTGACAATTAGCGAAACGATCGGACGCCGGTCTGGCTGGTCGAGCGACTGTTCCGAAAAGACACGGCGCTTTTTCTGGTATGTCCACGAGGAAAAGGAGGCCGCTTGATAATCACGAAGTCGTCAGTATACCTTTTGCTACAACTTTTCTTATTGTGTACGCATACTTACCTGTTTTCCTTACTTCTACCGACTGTCTTTTTGCACTATACCTTCAGCCTTCTATATACTATACCTTCAGCCTCTATTCTGTACCTTCAGCCTCGCTAATAAATGACGAGTTCTACACGGCCACGCCGACCACCTTCACGTCTCTTTCACGTACCTCGCTAGAGCAATAAAGAAACGCGGTGTTCGAAACTGGAGGTATAAAATGAATAAAGGCACAGACGCTGACCAAGAGGTTTTTTTTTTGTTCGTTTCAAACCTCCTTGACGCTGACACACCACACAATAAATGAGTGGTCCTACACCACCTCAACAATGCAGGAGACATCTTATCAAATATGCCAAGTGATCAGCACGTTACTCTATAGAAATTGTAAAACAGGTTCGTCTTGATCGACCCTATAGAGGCTTGTGACAGAAAGAGACGTCTGGGTTAGATGTCGTTGTCAGCTATTAGGGAAACACGTATTCTGAATTTCACAGCAACCGCAGATGGTCATATAATTCACTAAACCAATCCTAGGTTATCGAGCAGTCGCATTAGGCGTTGATTGACTTACTTTCCCCACAAATGCGAGAAATGTTAGTTCTATGAGCCCTGTGAGCACTAACAAAAATTTAGTGCTAAACTTGACCACCGGCACATGCTCGAAAATTAATTAGCCTTCCTCCCTGGATAAGATGAAACCATTGTCAATGCTGGATAAAAATGGTACACTAATAATGTCTGGACTCTTTTTGCCACGTATTACGCTGGGGGAGTAGGTAATATAACTTTTAGGTCCCCTTAGATTTCATAAGTGAGTTTGAATATTTGTGAAGTTATGAGTCATACCTCGAAAGAACATGTGCATGACTCGATTCGATACCAAGACCCTACATGGCTTGTCTAATGAGAGGAAACCAGTGAAAAACGCTTCATTAGAATATGAATGACCCAAGCCGTTGCAGTATGAATGAACTGCAATACACACTGTTGAGCACTTAGTATTGCCAATATTCGTGGAGTGTAAGCTTCAATGAGTAATAAAATACGTTTACTCTCTTTACTCCAGTAGTGGCCACGAAAAGCCGCATTATGGCATCGTCAGAAACCAAACTTCACAGTAGAAAAAGAAAAAGACCTCGAAGCTTATGGCTTCATGAAATAATGCATTTTAATCACTAGTATTGCATCACTCGAACTGTAGTAGTGCAGTTCTAAGCAAGACAGAACGGAAGAACTAACGTAGACAGCAATCGTCCTTCTCTGTCATTTGCTTCATGTGCTTGTCAAAATATAAAGCCCTTGCACGTTAAAGGGGTACCAATTTCGGCTGAGCTAACCAAAATGCTTCGTAAGTTGAACTTGTAAGGTCCATAGTTATTGAAGTAAAATAACTTGTTTGATTCAAGTTATCACATGTCCAAATAGAGAGCGAATATGCGCATAGTGTAGGCTAATAATTAATAGGTCATTATGACAAATGACTATTATATTGCCGCT